TGTGTGTGTGGGAGTGTGTGTGTGTGTGTGTGTGTGTGTGTGTGTGTGTGTGTGTGTGTGTGTGTGTCAGAGAGAGAGAGACAGACATGAGACAGACACACTGGTGCATCTTTCATCTGAAAGAAAAGAAAGAAGTCAAATAATCCTTCATTAGCCGGACTGATACAGAACTATTGTTATTCCAGAGTTCACCACGAGATCATAGACACTCGCCTAGAAACACCCTAGCAACCGCATAGCAACACTCACAACACCTTAGAAGTGAACAGACTTCAAATCTTAAAAGTCTATTTTTACACTGTACCTGTCCTGCAGATAATATATTAATGAAATAAAAGGCACACACTTAAGTGCACTTTTAAAAAATGACTTTTGAAATTATGTTAATTTGAAAGTTTTGCTTTAAAGTACATTTTTCATCATTCAATTAAAAAAATGTTAAGCTGTACACTTATTTTAATGTGTTGACTAACATGCTAAAGCACACACTGAAAAAGGATTTTTCAAAGTTATAAATAAAAAGATTTTTGGAGTACATTTTATTAAAATAAATCTATTTTAGTCTTTCTTCTTCACTATTTAATGTTTAATTCCATTTTTTTGCATTCCATTTTTAAAACCATTTGTGAGCTAATTTTTTCTTTTACACGATATAGAGGTAATTGTGACTTTTTATCTTTCAATTTAGTTTTTTTTCTTGCAATTCTGAGAAAAAAGTAAGAATTGTGAGATATAAACTCAGAATTGTGAAAATTAATAATATGAAATCACAATTGTGAGAAAAAGTCAGAATTGTGAGATAAGAAGTCACAATTTACTTTTTTTATTTTTAATTCCGTGGCGGGGGGGAAACAGAATTGCAAGATTTAAAGTCAGAATTCAGAGTAAAAAAAATACTCAGAAATGCGACAAAAAAAGTCAGAATTCTGCTCAAAATTTTCAGAAGAAATCTGAATTGTGAGATAAAAAGTTGCAATTAGGCTACATGTTTTATTTTTTTATTCTGAGGCGAAAATGGGCTTCCATACTGTTCTTATCTAGAGTCTATAAAGCTATATATTTCAAAAATCCAAAAGCACAAAATAATGGCACAGAGCTGATTTAACTGTGAAAATAAAATCATTTTATTAGCACATTAGCATTTAGTATTATGAAGCCTCCAGATCTACAAAGAAAAACCAAGAACAAACATTTAGCGGTATATGGCACAAACAATCCCACGGAGTATTTCTAAAGGGCTTAGATTCATTATTATACTATTATAGTTTTTGTTAATATTTTGAATATATATTTATATAAAGATTTTTATATAGAAGAAGTTTGAAGAAGTTTTCATTTTAATTTTAGATAAATGTGTTAGTAATTTCGATGTGCGTCTTTGCCATTTTAATTTGTTTTGTTTTTATTTTAAATATGTCTGTATAGATTTTATTAAGTTTTAGTTTATTTAGATTTAGTTATTTTAGTATTTCAACTTAAACAAAAATGAGAAATTTTGCCTTGGCAACTAGTTGAAATAAAATTGTTTAAAATATATATAATTTATCATATTTATTTATAATTATTTTATTTCAGTTAATGTTCATTTTATTTCAAATAATAAAATTTTTATTAATTGTTTTTGAAATTGATTTAATGATATTAACCCTGCCACAAACAAATCATTCTGCATTTGTACATTTTCATGACGACATTATTTAGTGTGTTTATTTCACTCACACTCACTTACACTCACGCACACACTCACGCTCACACTCACACACTCACACTCACACACACACTCAAACACACACTCACT